TTTTCAAAAGGGAAGGTTTTAACTTTCACATAGTAAAATTACAGATAACAAAACAATTATCAAGCAAGAATTACAATTACAATATCTAGTCTATTTATAATAACTAGTCTATTTGCATTTGGCAAAATTAAAGAAGATATCCTATCTAATTTATGAGTTTAATGTTTCATATCTAACTTATCTTTTATCATAACTAAGGAAATTATAACTATCTAGTCTTCAACTATATCAAAGACCTCAGAACAATATAATATTACCTGAGAAATGGGAGAAGGATGCAAGCAACTTTCAAGAGTCTTGTGAGAGTAGACAGAGACAGCTGGCAGCCTGGACAGTCATCCAAAGTTCTTTTGTAAAGCTGGGGCATTTGTCTTAAGCCCACAGAGCTAGAGTCTCTCAGTCACTTTTCTCTGTGTCCTGTAGGATGTCTGGCGGTTTCCTTTGCAAAGCAGGAACCTGAAGCACCATTTTGTCAAGCAAAGTTCAGTGGTCACCTTCCTATGGGTCCTGCATGTCCAGTCAACCAAGCAGTCCAGGCAAGAACAGTTTCTTGCCCAAATGGCTATTTTTGCCAAGGTTAAGATAAACTCTATATAGAGTGTCTTTGATGCCCATCCTCCTCTCTAAAGTAAATCGGTGCTGCCAGGAGCAGACATGTCTCACTGTACAGAAAGTCTAAATTTTTAAAACATTTTAAATGCCATGTTCTGTAAGTCTTTGACATGTTTGAAGATTACCTATCTAATTGAATTATATCTATGTATATCTAGAAAATATGACTATAAGTTTGACTGTCATTGAAGACTAATTGTTAATCTGTATTTCTTAATTATCCATTACAATTTAAATGATTACATAAACATAATACCTCAAAGGAGAATAGAAATATATATACAGTATAACAAATTTAAGTTTAAACTTGTATCAATAAACTAAAATCCATAGCAATGTAAAACATTTAAAACAAGTTATTGCTCTTTAAAAGTAGGTTCATTAATCTACCCTTTCATCCTATCATATCTAAACTATCCCCTTTACTTCTTTAGAAAGAGACTGCATTATAATCAACCTGATTTAAATAAAAATATTGGTTTTTCTCTGTCCCACACCAGAGGGCTCTTCTAATATGGGACAAAAGAATTTCTTAACTTTTATTTTTTTATTTTATTTTTTTTTAGCAATATGTTTGAGTTTAGAGAAGTGAGCCAATTCCATCTCCAAAGCCAGCTTGGTATATTTGGGAATTTGGGCGTAGCTTCACTTACTACTTCCTGCTGGAGGAGGGTGCTGTATTTTATGGGGACACAAAGAAAATTTTAGGGTTATGGAGTAGTCCGTGAGGGTGTATTTTCTGAGCCAGTTGCCTTGAAACCATTCTAGATGTTGGATCATCTGGGCCATGGTGTCATCGGAGACCTTTCAGGAGGTCTTGGCTGGTCAAATCTAATGTATCTTAATATGGAACAAATCCATAGCCTCTGGCTTTCTGTGGAAACAAAAGCAGAGCCTCCTTTCCAAATTCCAAATTCCAAAACAAGGATATGTTCCAAAGCAACATATCCTTACATCCAAATTTTGAAGTCAAGGTACCTTTAAAATATACATATTGGCTTAACTCAACAGCTTTCACGATCAAATGTTTTTCTGCAGTTAAAAATCCCAAAGACAACACAATCCAGATTCTCTGTGTAATATCCATCTTTATGTGGCTTATTTTTTACACTACCTTTACTGTCTCTTTAAAAACTTTATTTTTTTAAAAAAAAACTATCTTTTTCTTAATATAACTGTATATATTCCTTTTTCTCTCTCTTCCAAGCCTACATACATTTTTACACACATTGTAAAGCATTTAAAGTCTTCTTCCATCTGAATCTGTCTTATTGTGAATCTATTGTTTTAAACTGCAGCATTTCTAAAACTGAAATGGCCACTGTGGCTGCTGGCTCTGCCCACCTCAGCTTCCCAACATGACAGTGGTACAGTTTACCGCCAGCTCTGGGTCTGGAGCCATATGTACCATCAGCTATCAGAAGCAGTCTTATCAAAGCAGCGTGTAGCCCAGAAACCTTTTTTTTATTTTTTATTTTTATTTATTTATTCATTTTTTTGTACTAGCATAGGCTGAATCCACCACAGAGCAGCGTAATGTGCTGCTTGCAGACACCCCATTCCCACCATACTGCAGGTCAAGTTTGCATGCCACAAACCCACCATGTAGTAGCTCAAGCATGCAGGCTACAGCTAACTTGAGAAAGACAACTAGGAAGCTGTTTTAGCTCCGTTATAGAATCATCTTTCTCAGGTTTTAGATTGGGCGCCATTTGTAGCTAGAGTTTTCCTGGTCCTGTCTGGCCCACAGTCAAGACAAATCTCTCTCACCCACCAGTCCTGCAGCTGCTTAGACTGAACCAAGTAAACACACAGAGACTTATATTGCGTACAAACTGTATGGCCACAGCAGGCTCCTTGTTATCTAGTTCTTATATATTAAATTAACCCATTTCTATTAGTCTGTAAGTTGTCACGTGACTCGTGGCTTACAGGTACCTTACATCTCGCTTGTCAAGGCAGTGGCTGGCAGCATCTCTCTGACTCAGCCTTCCTGTTCCCAGAATTCTCCTCTCTCCTTGTCCCGCCTATACTTCCTGCCTGGCTACTGGCCAATCAGTGTTTTATTTATTAACCAATCAGAGCAACACATTTACCATACAGACCATCCCACAGCAAGTTCCAAACTTCATTTCCAACACAGGATTGTGGCTTGCCCTTGAGGTAAGATTTGATGGTCCTTATAGATGAGACCATGGACAGCTGCACGGTCACATTGCTCTTGACCTTTCCTTTCCGTGACCAGGTCTCTCCCCTTCCTCTTCTACCTCCCACTCTCTACAAGCTCTGTTCTTCCTCTCTCCTGGAGATTCCATGTGCCAAGACACATCTGCAATGATAAAAGTTCAAATTTTTATCATATTTATGTGTATGGAAAGCAGAGGATGCCGGGCGGTGGTGGCGTAGCCGGGCGGTGGTGGCGCAGCCGGGCGGTGGTGGCGCACGCCTTTAATCCCAGCACTCGGGAGGCAGAGCCAGGCGGATCGCTGTGAGTTCGAGGCCAGCCTGGGCTACCAAGTGAGCTCCAGGAAAGGCACAAAACTACGCAGAGAAACCCTGTCTCGAAAAAAACCAAAAAAAAAAAAAAGGAAAGCAGAGGACAGCTAGGAGGAGTTGGTTCTCTCCGACCACGTGGGTTCCGAGGAGGAAACTCAGGTTGCCATGCCTTACCCACTGAGATGTCTCACCAGAACCTTGACCACCTCTCTAGATTGGAGACACGGGAAGTGACATGAGAGCCTGAGCTGACAGGTGGTGATGTGAGCAAAGGAAACTCTTCTGCCTCCCTTGGACTTTATTCGGGGTGCATCCCCCACCTCCTCTCTGACCTCTCTGTCTCCCACCAATGCATCAGGACCAAATTGTTTAGAAAGAGAAGGGAACAGGAGGGGAAAGAGATGATGTTTTCTGTGATCTGTGCTCCTGTTCTCTGTTCCTCCCATTAACCTAAGCTCTCTCACTCTCGCCAGCCCCCACACCTCGCTTTCCAAGCGCATAAGAAGAGGGGTGACTTGGGCAACAGCCCTGAGATCCTCTAGTCAAGGTATGAGGGTCTGAATCCTAGTTTATCAGGTACAAACTGTGTATGATGGCCAAGTTACTTTCCCTTTCTAAGCCTTAGCTGTGTGGTCTTCAAGTATAGTCCAAATTAAATGATTAAATGAGACAGGGCATGCAAAATCTTTATTGCTTACCTCATAGAAGCACTAATTTTTAAATGATTATTTCTCATCATCTCTATTTTAAGGGATGATGGTGGTTATCTTTGCTTTGTTTTCTTTTATGATCTGCTGTTTTGAGAGCCTCATTGTTTTCACAGTTTAGCTTCTATGGACCGCTGTGCTGGCCCACATCTCAGGAGCTAACTTCGACGGGCTATTGCAGTTCAATCTCTTCACTCTCTTGCTCATCTTGACTGATTTTATCCTCTCTGTGAACAAATTTTAAGAAACTACAAAGGGAGCCACTGCATTGCTAACAGTAGAAAGCCTGACAGAGAAAACTGTGCTAAGAAATGGAATTGCACAGCTTGCCGTGCCCAGGGCTGTGTGCTTAGGAGAGGCACAGCCCTGATGGGAAGTGCACTGAGGCATGCTTAGGATGTACCGCTCTTCTCAGACTCTGAAGAAAGGGGGTTTCTGAGGAATGGCTGTAGCTGTGACTGACATTTCCTTCATGTCACTGACATTTCCTTCATGTCAATGAAGGTTAGTATCTTTTAGCTTTTGGCCTTTTGCATATATTCTTTACAGAAAACATGTTTAAGTAGAAAGAATAATCTCTTGAATATATGTACACAAATTTGGGGGTTCTGTTCCTTCCCTTCCTACAATCATTTTTGATAGACAAAAGGTGAAATCAATGGCATGGAATCAGTGTTTTCTGTTGAAGTGTCTTCAGAGAAGGAGAGCCTGAGTTATGTAGCAAGGAGTGAACTGTCATTGATTAGATGGCTATCCCATTTTCCTCCCTAACAAAAGCTAAGGCTCAGTCATGTATGAGGTGTTTAATGCAGTTTTGATATCCTTTCACAAAAGGGCATGAGATCCCTCCATGATTAATTAATTGTAAAGGTAGAAAATAATGGTTTGGGACAGAAGACATGGGTTGAAAAGTCTCCTTACTTTCCTCCCCCACCCTAGTAAGGATTGCCAGTCACACACCCATCCCTGTTTATGACTGGTGCCTGTACTATCGGACTACTTTTCTGTTTGATCGCTTACTGTCTGTCACCCTCTAAAGTATAAGCTGCTGATGTATATGCGCCTATAATGCCTGGTGTGGAGTCAAGCATATTACAGATTTGTATAAAAACTTACTCAACATAAAGAGACAGTGTAACTATGACCTTCTTTGTATATTCATTAGTTTGTTTTCCATTCTCTCACTTTTCTGATGGTTCATGTCAGCATGATGAGGAAGAAGAAGTCATCAGTGGATGAGCAAGGTTCTCTCTGGCTCCCACAGTCTCCTGATCTGGGGCATCTTAAGAATATATTGGATGCAGGAGAGTATGGCTCTTTTGTATCTCCTCCCATACTGGAGAGCAATTTTATTCAGGTAAATAACACTTGCACTCTCAATTACTTCTAGTAATTCCTGTATTTCATTTTCTCAAAGACAGTGAAAGGCTGAGAAGAGAACTTTTTAAATATGATGAAGGGACAGTGTGATGTCAAGGGGAACAGTTTTGTAATTTTTAATAGCCTGAAAGTTCACATTACAGGAAGATTCACTTTAGATGTTCCCAACAAACTCGAAAGCAAGAATTCTGTCCAAAATCTACCATAATTGTCATGCTAACAAAATCTTGTTACACAAAATGATTTTTAGAACATACTATCAAAGGAAGGTATTCAAATAATTTCTTTCTCAGAGCTTTATTTTAATTTTTAAAGTTGTATATTTTATGTATATGAGTGGCTTGCCTGCATTCATTTGTGCACCATGGATGTGCCTATAGATGGTTGTGAGCCACCATGTGGATGCTGGTAATTGAACCCAGATTCTCTACAAGAGCAGCAAGTTCTTAACAGCTGAGCTATCTCTTTAGCCCCTAGACCTGTATTTTAAAGACAAACATCTGAGGCTGGAGATGAGCTCCGAGGTAGAGCCCTTGCCTAGCATGCACAAAGCCCTGGGTTCAGTCCCTAGTGCCCAAGTCAATCAACAACAACCTGGGATGTGCTAAGAATGAAAATAAATCTTACCTGTTGGTTCTGAGAGGGAGATATAACTGTCAGATAGTATCAGAGATAAAAGCTTCTTTCGTGTAAGAATGCACGTGTTTTCTGAATGAAGCTGCAGAGCCGGGTGTGTGTGTGGGGGGGGGGGGGGTGCTGGCTTCCTTCTCAACACTCAACATTAGACTGTTCCAGCAAGACATGGGCTCAGCAGTGCAAACCATGCCTGTCCCTCACAGAAATGTCACGACAGTGTCTGATGCTGAACATGGAGCCAACACACTCAGCTGATCCCACAGAGTGTGACAAGGAAGGTGACAGACACTTCAAAGATAAGGAGAGTTGGTGCTTCATAAGTGTATTCTCTGACTGATAGCAGATGACTAGTGTGACTTCTCTGTGCCCAGTGTACCACGGGGAGGAGTGAAGTCTCCAGAACATGTTTCAGTGATGTCCAAGAACACATGATGCCCTGGAGCATGTGATGTCATAATTTAATGATTTTGGCTTTCAGTTACATTTTACTGCTAGTAACCTTTTATTTTCACCTTTCTTCCTGTGCCTTTTTCAGATTATCTCTTATACACTCTAATTGCATAGTCCTGGCCCCACATGGGGAGGAGACACTTTGTGGTCTACATATTAGCCACAGTCCCATGTCATTCCAGTCATACTCTCCAAGATGTCCAGTTTTTACTGGTTGGTCATTGGCAGCAAGCTTCCAAAATTCCTGACTCTGGAAATTCAAGTGACTGGGGGAAGGGGGAGGAAGGGGACAGCAAGCATCCTAACACCCAAAGCGCTCACTCACTTGGACTAACTGCTAACTGTGTGCTAACACACTATCAGCTACATTCCTAAGTCAATCCCTCAGCCTCATGCTCCATAGCATCCTGAAGGACTAATAGTTACCACAGTCTCGAGCACTGGTTCTCCCTAGGAGACCCCACAAACCAGAGACTGTGGGTATTCATTCTGCTGTTTCCAAATCATGAACAAGTCAAGGAATGGAGGGACCATGGCTCACTCCCTCCTTGTCCTCTGACCTCCCTTACACTGCTCTAGCAAGCAAGGGTGCTAGCTAGATCCATGCCTTTTATCAAGAAACTCCTTTCCTGTTCTCTGCATTCAGGTCAATAGGAGAGGTGAATCTATTTATCTGCATAATGGAGCGAACTGGGTGACCGTAGGCATCTGTTCTTCCAATCCCATCCTCAAGACCCCCAATGTGATGCTGTTGGCACATCTGACACCAGAGGCTCGAAAAGAATCAGAACCCCTCTTTAAAAGCCTCCTGACATCTCCCTCTACAGAGAAGGTGGTGCTCACCAGGTGAGTCACAGGACAGGAGGACAGTAATTTCTCGGAGAACACCATATCCCCACCAAACTGAAAGTGGGAATGCTGGTGGACAGGGCTCCAAAGGAGCACTTCAGGTGCATTGCTTTCTCAAACGATGCAGGGGTGTCTCTAACAGCATCCAGAAAAAGTGGTTTATTACAACTGACAAGTTAAAAAAAATAAAAAAACTAAAGTAATGAGGACTGGAGACTCAAGAGCCTGCCTCTCAAGAGCATGCTCTCCCTCCCCACAATAGGTTCACTTCCATCAGAATTTGATCTGGCCTCATCTCAGCCACGAACTTGGTCTATGATCTTGAACAAGTAGCCTAATTTCAGCCTCATTTTTAAGCACTTTTTATCACTATATATTTTTGTACAAAATAGTGGGTTTTGTTATGACGTTTTCATACCTGTGTTTTAAGTACCTTGACCATAGTCACCCTTCTTTACCCTCCCTTGTCCCCAACCCCATCCCACTGGGCCTCTTCTTCATCACATACAGTCTCCTTTTACTTTCATGTCTTTTGTGTTTGTGTAATTGTGTGTGTGCGTGCACACATGGGTGCATGTGTGTCATGGCATACATGAGGAGGTCAGAGGACAACCTCAGGTGTCAGTCATCAACTTCCTACCTTGCTAGAGACAGGGTCTCTCTTATTTACTGCTGTGCACTCCAAACTAGCTAGTCCAGGAGCTTCCAGTGATTTTCCTGTCTCCACCTACCCTTCCCTAGTAAGGGCAAGCTAGAATTGTAGATGCTTGTACTGAGTTCTGAGAGTCCAAAACCAAGTCATCAATCAGGCTTATATAGTAAGTGCTTTATTCCCCCTACCTTTTTAAACATCCAGATTCCTCATGAGAGAAGACTGTTACTTTTGTCTTTCTGAATCTGGCTTATTTCACTTAACGTGATCTCTGGTTTCAGACATTTTCCTGCAGTAACATTTCATTATTCTTTATGGATAAATAAAGCTCCATTTTGTGGATATATTTTTTTTCTCTATCCTTCTATCTGTTCATGGTCCCTGGTCTGATTCCATAACTTGCCTGTTGTGACCAGTACCCTGAAAGACATAGTAAACAGGTATCCCCGTTGCATGACGACTTGGATTCCTTTGGGTGTGCACAACCAGGAGCAGTGTTGCTGGATCATGTGATAGTTCTAGTTTTAGCTTCTTTAAGGAACCTCCATGTTGATTTCCATAGTGGCTATGCTAACTTACCTCCTACCAAGAGCATATCATACTTTCCATTTTCTCCCTGCATCATTACCAGCACCTTTTGTCTTCATGATAGTGAGCATCCTCACTGGGATAATATGACATCTCAATGGAATTTTTATTTGCATTCCTAGATGTTTAAACCTCAACTTCGATTACATTTATTTTTTTATTTGTGCATATGTGTGCATGCATGCATATGTATCCACGAGTCCAATGTCGGAAGACAAGTTTGTGGGATCACTCTGTCCTTTACCATGTGGGTGCCAAGGATTGAACTTAGGTCATCAAGTTTGGCTGTGGGTATCTTTGCCTGGTGAGCCATCTCACCAGCCCTAAGCCTCAACTTTTCATGATTAATTAGGATGGGGAGTTTCTCATGATAAGCCACTTTCTGATCGTTTAGTAAAATCAGAATCTTAGATGCATGATTAAAATGAGATGGTCTCAAGAGCTCCCACCCACACCTATCTGGGACACAAGAGCACCACCCACACCTATCTGGGACACAAGAGCATTGACTGTCTAATCCTCCAAGCTGGAAAAGTCTTTTTATAGGTCTCCAACTAGGTCTTCAGATGACATTACATTTGCATTTGTTTGTAGGTTTCTCCCTCTGCAGTTTGTGACTCTTTCTGTGCACAGTGCTAAGAACATGCGACTCAAAGTAAAGCTGATAAGTGGCCGAGCCTACTATTTACAGCTCTGTGCTCCTGTGTATAAACAGGATATTATATTTTCTCAGTGGGTGGACCTCATCACCCTCTTGTATCAGAAGAAAGCCAGAACTTCCAAAGTATCAGAGGTCTCAAGCCTCTCAGAGATCACAAACAGCACAGACATCACAAGCTCAATGGACATCATGGACATCGCAGCTTTTGCAGAGCTGCGGGCCGCGCACTCACACACTCGGATACATTCTGCTAACACCACCGAAAGCGCAGACTTCTCAGAATATACAGATGTCACCGATATCACAGATGTCACTGATGTTCCAGAAAATGGGGCCACAGATGTTCCAGATATAAGAATTGTCACAGAAGTCACAGAAGTCACAGAAGACGTCAAAGAACCCAAAGAGGCCACAAACATCTCAGAGGTCACAATAGTATTTGAAAACGATGACATAATAAAGGCCAAGCAAGAGGAAAAGGTATGTGTTGTAGGAGACTTTCACTCTTTAGTGGCCAAGCATGGGAGCTGTAACCAAGTTCTCAGTTAACACTGTTGATGAAAATGCTGTGGAGGGCTGGAGAGATGGCTCAGAGGTTAAGAGCACTGGCTGCTCTTCCAGAAGTCCTAAGTTCAATTCCCAGCAACCACATGGTTGCGCACAGCCATCAGTAATAAGATCTGGTGCCCTCCTCTGGACTGCAGGCATACACGCAGGCAGAACACTGTATACATAATAAATAAATAAATAAACCTTAAAAAGAAAGAAAGAAAGAAAATGCTATGGAACCAACTCTGACTGACACGATTTTAGCAAGGACTCACCCCCTGAGCCCGGGATAAGTCATAAAATATTCCCCGAAGTAGTGACCATCCTTATATCAAACTTACCCCAGTATTGAAAGCAGTGGGGTGACAGAAAGCACTTCAGGGTCAGAATCAGAAGACCTGGGTTAGAATCTTAACTTTTTGGGTATTCCATATCTGACTGGCTAAATTACTGAACCTACACAACAACTTCAAATGAAAGTATTAATATAATGGCTATTTTATGATTTGAATATGAGGATGGGCTGAACCTTCAATAAGAAAATGTGAGGGCAGAAATAAGAAAATAAAAAAGTTACTGACAGCCGGGCAGTGGTGGCACACACTTTTAATACCAGCACTCTGTGAGTTCAAGGCCAACTTGGGCTACAGAGTTTCAGGAAAGGTGCCAAAGCTACACAGAGAAACCCTGTCTCAAAGAACAAAAACAACAACAACAACAAAAAAAAAGTTACTGACTTTAGAAAAGGTCAGAGAATACAAAAAGAAAACACGAGAGAGAGAGAGAGAGAGAGAGAGAGAGAGAGAGAGAGAGAGAGAGAGAGAGGAGAGAGAGGAGAGAGATGAAAGTCACTAGGAAGTGGGGACCAAGCATTTTACATATCAATGTAGTGGTTTGACTAGATGCTCAGCAACAGAGAAGGCACGTCCTGCTCTCCAGAGGACTCCAGTTCTCCACACCCACATCCTCAGCTCACAACTGCCTACAACTCCACCTCCAGAGGATGTGATGCCCCGTTTAGCCTCCACAGGCCCTGCCCTCACATGGCACAGGTACACACAGACACATGGGCCCCTGCCCTCACATGGCACAGGTACACACAGACACATGGGCCCCTGCCCTCACATGACACAGGTACACACAGACACACGGACCCCCGCCTGCACATGGCACAGGTACACACAGACACATTGACCCCTGCCCTCACATGGCACAGGTACACACAGACACACGGACCCCCGCCCGCACATGGCACAGGTACACACAGACACACGGGCCCCTGCCCTCACATGGCACAGGTACACACAGACACACAGACCCACACACACACACATGCATGCACACACAAATAAAAATAAAAAATTTCTTAAAAATATATTAGTCTGGTAGCATGATGGTTTGTAGAGATCAGTTTGAAGACAGCTAGTGAAAAATCTCCACTAAATCCACGGTATAAAAAAGATGATGATTGAGGACAGACATTTCGGTGGGGAACCACTCATGAGCAATAGGAGAAAAACTCACTGTGCTGTGAAACAGGCAAGACGTGTTGCTCCTTGCCGGGTGTACAGTGGTGTACCGGATGATCAACATCTCTTTCCCCATCTGTACAGCGGTGTACCGGATGATCAACATCT